GATTCTAAGCAGGGGCTCTACCACTGAGCCACACCCCCAGCCCCTCACTGGGGGATTCTAGGCAGGGGCTCTACCACTGAGCCACACCCCAGACCCTCACTGGGGGATTCTAAGCAGGGGCTCTACCACTGAGCCACACCCCCAGCCCCTCACTGGGGGATTCTAGGCAGGGGCTCTACCACTGAGTCACACCCCAGTCCCTCACTGGGGGATTCTAGGCAGGGGTTCTACCATGGAGCCACATCCCAGCCCCTCACTGGGGGATTCTAGGCAGGGGCTCTACCACTGAGCCCCAGCCCCAGCCCCTCACTGGGGGATTCTAGGCAGGGGCTCTACCACTGAGCCACACCCCAGTCCCTCACTGGGGGATTCTAGGCAGAGGCTCTACCACTGAGCCATACCCCAGCCCCTCACTGGGGGATTCTAGGCAGAGGCTCTACCACTGAGCCATACCCCAGCCCCTCACTGGGGGATTCTAGGCAGGGGCTCCACCACTGAATCCACACCCAGGCCTCACTATTGATTCCTCAGAGCACTTCTGAGGCTCACATTCCTTAACAGTTCCTAAGACTTCTCTGTTACCCCATGACATGTCCCTATCACTTACAACCTATTCTGTTTCTAGCATACTCTAGGGCCCGGTACCAGGCCCTGTGATTCCCTGCAGCACTTCTGAGTTCCTTAAAAAAAGATGTTCCGATGGGCGGTGTTGGCTCCATCATTTAATCCCAGCACTCGGGAGGCAGAGCCAGCGGATTTCCGAGTTTGAGGCCAGCCTGGTCTACAGAGCGAGATCTAGGACAGGCTCCAAAGCTACACAGAGAAACCCTGTCTCAAAAAACCAAAACCAAAACCAAAAGAAAGAAAAAAGAAAAAAGATGTTTCTTCTCAGAAAGGATTTTTTTTTTCTGTCACTCAGGAAATCACCTTTGCCATACATGCTCGGCTACACAACAGAAACCAACCGTGCGTGCTGACTCACACCGTCCCCAGACCACCTTCTGAGAGCTCACCAGGAGTTCCACTGCTGTTGGTGCTGGGCAGGCTCGGGAGAGGGGGTGGCCCTGAGACTGCAGGTGTAGAGCCAGGGCCTAAGGGCGGTTCCTCTGGCGTAGCAGTGTCCTTAGGCCCGGGGAGTGGTGGATCATCCAGGGCAGAGATGGCCGAGGAAATGCTTTCCTGTAGGTCTCGGTTCTTGGCCACAGAATCTTCTTCATCGGAGGAGAAAGAGGGCAGCGTCTCCAGGTTGCGCTTCAGCTCTTCATCCAGGCGCTTGCAGGGCGAAGGGCAGCCCAGCCCGAGCCCCTCACTCTCTGCAGCCTCTAACGCGCCCCCCAGGCCGAAAGGACCCGAAGGTGCGGGGTGCGGCGGCGGCACAGTGGGTGTGGTGGGTGGTGGGGGCTGCAGGCCCCGGGGGGCCACAGAGGCTGGCACACTCTTAGGGGGGCTTAGCGGAGGCGTCAGGCCGGCTTGGTAGAGCGGCGGGTGCCGCTTGCCTGACTTGAGGAAGTCGAGGAAAGAAGCCATAAAGCCTGACTTCATCTCCGGCTGCTTCTCTTCCACCTCCTTGATCTTGGCCTCAATTTTCTCCCGGGTCAGGTTGGAATCCAGGCTATTGTGGTCTACACCCGAGATGGCATCATTGGAAGGTGCTCCCATGCCCTCACCAGCCTTGGGCACAGACAGCTTGATCTAGACATGAGGACAGCAAAGAGTCAAGGTCCAGGGAGGGGCCCACGCCAGAGGCCTCCTCCCTCAGATCCAGGGGTCCACACTTTATCCTTCCAAGTCTCTGAGACCTTGGAGTTCCATACCCCACCTCACTTTAGACCAAGTCCAAATCCTTCAACCAGGCTGTGGAGCCCTAGATTTCAATCCAAATGACCTTATTTAAGTGGTAGGAGGCCAGGCCAATAGTTCCTTCCAGTACCCAGACCTTCCACAACATTCAGGCACACAGGATCTGAATGCCCAGCCCATCCTTCCATTTCCAAGACTTAGAACCTGGTTCCTGACACCCTGTCCTCTCGGGAGCACCACATTACAATATTCCAGCTCCTGAAGACACCACATTTCCATCTAGGTAACTGTCTAAGTGCTTCATAATAAGGGAACCACAACTCCGATGTCTAGACCACCCTGCCACCTTCAACCTCAGACAGTCCAGCCCAACCCCTCCAAGACCCAGTCCCCCTCACCTTAAGTGGTTTCAGGGGCTCCAACCGAGTACTTCCCATTTCCTCAGCCTTCCTGCCTCTTCCCCTACCCCGGCCCCGAGGTTTCTTGGCCCCATCAGCGGCCATGGCGGCCGAGGCTGGCCCGGCAATGGTGGGGCCCTCCAGTGGACGAATCCGGGGTCTCCCCCGGGGTCGGGGAGGACCGTCACGCTTTGCCTTGGTGGGCTTGCGGCCTCGGCGACGAGGGCCATCAGGACCAGGGTTGGGTGGGCAAAAGTCTATATCGCCCAGTGGTGAGAGGGCTGGTCGGGAGCGGCAGCTAGACACCAGATCAGGCAGGCGTCTCGGGTTTAGACGGATATCTGCGGGTACGTCAGCTTTGTCCTCATCAGCCTCAAACTCGTACTCCTGCGCGTACAGCTTCTTGGGTGTCTGGAAGGGGGGGTCTCGACGCCGTAGTAAGTGAAACGAGGATGTCTTCAGCAGCTTCTTTGGCTTGGTTGAGCAGAAGATGGGCGAGGTGAGACCACCCTTGGGCTCGGAGACAGGTGGTGGCGGGGGCGGTGGGGGCGGCGGCGGGGGCGCTGACTGGTGTGGCCCGCTCTGGATCAGGCCCAGTGGCTCTGCGTTGACGGTGGAGGGAAGCTCAGGGGGTTTGTTGGGATCCAGACCCAGGCCTGGAGTCTCTGGTCCAGCTCCAGATGCCCGGCCTCCACAGTAGGGTCCATAGGGGTCATAAGCAGTGGGACCAGGGGGTGGGCCGGCACCAGTCTTGGGGTCTCCGTCGTCTTCAGTCTGTCCAGCCTTGCCATAGTCATCAGCTGCCCCTCCACCAAACATCTCCTCCATGGTGGGGAAGAAGCTCCGCTCCTCATCCTGAAGCAGTGAGTCGGGAAAGCAGATAGACGTGAGGGGTACGAACCGTGGTGCCTTGGTCCCTTGAGGGCTGGGACTTCTGTAGGCGCCTGCAGGATCCTTGCCCTCTGAGTTAGGTGGTCCCACACCAGTGTCCCCAGGACCTGGTGGCAACGGTTCCAGAGCCCCGAGCAACTCTTGCATTGCTCCAGGAGGCTCCAGGCTCTCCTCCGGTCGTAAACGAGGACTCGGTGCTGTGGGTTCCAGGCCGTGACTGCGAAGGTGAGCTTCAAGCTGCAGAGGCATAGGTGGTGGTGGGGGGGGCGGTGGGGGCGGCGGCTGGGGAGCCCCGTCCCGGGGGGCTGGCTCGAGGAGGTGGACGCCAACTTTGGGGGCGCTGGGTGAGGGGCTGGGGGCGTGGCTGAGCACGGAAGGGAGCAGCTGGGGGGGAGGTGGAGGCAGCACCATGGGAAGGTCAGGACCTCCAGCCTCCAAGAGGAGGCCATGGGGTGTGGGCTGGGTTGGCTGGGCCGTGGGTGGTGGGGGAGGTGGGCTCTTCTGCAAGAAGGCTCCCAGCTCCTTGGCACCTGCTCCATAGTGAACAACTGAGGTGGCCAGTCCCTCCGGGGTTTCACCGCCTCGTTCTGGCCCCTTCTTCTTCTCCTTCATCCGCCCCAGGCCCAGCTCCAGCGCAGCTGTGGCACTCTCATCCAGGCTGGCACTGGTCCGGATGACACTCTGCAGGTGGTACCTCTGGGGATCTTCCTTGGCCAATTCGTAAGGTGTGCCCGGCGGTCCTCCGGCTCCCCCGCTGCCCCCAAGTCCCTTCGAGGCACCAGCCGGCCCATCCTCGCCCACCAAGCCATCTGCCCCTGAGGTCCGAGGTGGGCTGGGTGCCTGAAGCAGGTGCTGAATCAGAAACTCTTCATCTTCTGTGCGCTCAGCCGTGGCACCGCCAGGGCCGGCAAGCAGCTCTGAGCCGTCTCCTTTCCCCTTGTAGGCCCCTGCTCCGCCCGAATAGCTGCTGGCTCCAGGGGGCGCCAGGAATGGAGCTGAAGCTAAGACGGAACTCAGGTATTTGCCGGGCGCTCCTGGAGAGCCAACCCCAGGAGGGCGGCCCGTAGCGGGCGGTGACTGGAGAGGCCGGATGATATGAGACGGGCTAGCCTCTCCACCACCTCCCAGGGAACTGGGTCCCCAGCCACCTCCATGGCCTGAGAGAGCGGGAGAGTGGCCAGTACTGTAGCTGAGGGAGGGGCTGGCGGTGGGGAGGCCCTGTGAATGGGCAGCTGGCCCTGGGTAAGGCTCACCCTGTACCCCATAGAGCTGGCCCTGAAGCTGGTCTGGGGAGTAGCTCTGACAGGTAGCCAGGCCAGGAGGTGGGGGGCCGCTGGGGGGCTGCGGCGGCCCACCAGAATAGCTCGGGCCTTTGCTTAAGTCCTGTGCCTGACCTCCTCCAAAGCCTTGCCCGTAGGCCTGGGGTCCCAGAAGCCCTTGGGGCTGACCAGGAGAATACGCCTGGCCCCCAGCCCCTGCACCCCCAGAGGCTTTTCCGGCAGCATAGGCAGCCGCTGGTCCACCCAGGCTCTGACACTTGGGTGTGGCGGTAGATCGAGGTGGCGGTGGTCTGGTGGCGCCCCCCGTACCTGGTCCATAGCCTCCCTTGCTTGTTTTGTAGCCAGGGGACTGGATGATAGGGCGGTACCCACCCCCACCCCCGGCCCCACCTCCCCCAGCAGGCTCGGGGCCTGCAGCCCGGCCAGCTGCTCCGGCCGCGGCTCCACTGGGGCCACCCTTGCTGGGTTCTCCGGCACCCGGGGAAGGCTCCCCCCCTCCCAAAGGGCTGCAAGCCAAGCTGGCCCGGTGGCCCATGGAGGGATAGCTGCCTCCGCAGCTCAGATAGTGCTGCAGGGAATGGGCGGGCGGTGGGGGCGGCGGGGGCTGGGCACTGGCCGGCCGCTGGTAGTGTTTGATGACCGTGTCCTGTCGGGGCAGGGCCCGCTCGGGGGGCGGACCCGGGGCAGCACCCGAGAAGTTGTAGAGCTGAGGGGACGACGGCTCTGCAGCGGTGGCTGCGGAGGAAGAGGCCAGCAGATTGAACTGCGTGGGGAGGTGCCGGGGAGGGGGAGGGGGGTCTGGGGGGCCGGGACGGTAAGGGGGGGTCTGAGCAGGGCCAAGGCCGGCGGGCCCCAAGACACCACCCCCGGCCAGGCGCTCGAAACCCAGTGAGGAGGGCACCGTGGGTGCCTGCGAGGGCTTCAGGTGGAGCACGTCATGGGGAGACAGGAGCCCATTGGCAGGAGGACTGAACGGTGGGTCCTGGAGGCTGAGGGAGGAGGGCACCGGGAAGGGGCGGCTGCCGAAGGAAGCTGGGTGCTGGTAGGCAGACAGGGCAGAGGAAGACGGAAAGGTGCTGGAGCCCGGGAGGGCACCCGAGATGAAGAGTTCCGTGGGGCCTGGTGTGTGCATGGCTAGGGATGAAGGAGAAGACCACAGGTCAGAGCGGACCACGACACGGCCTTCTCCAGCCCCCCGGGAACTGGCAATGGCTTACCTGTCTGCCAGGAAGGGCTTCGGAACTGGGAGAGGAGAGAGGAGGCAGAGGGGCCAGGCTGGGGGCCCCGGGACTCCAGGGCCGAGATGAGGTTCATGACGGAGGCGTCGGGCCCTGCTGAGCCCGCGTGGTGGAGGCCAGTGTCAAAAAGTCCAGAGAGGCCTGTAGAGACACGAGAGGGCAGGTCAAGCGGGCCAGGTGGAGGCAGGGGGTCAGACGGGAGAGGAAAGCCCTGAGCCAGTTCAGAGAATGGCTGCGGAGAAGGGCAGGCAAGCAAATAGAACCCAGCACCTTCCAACTCAGTCCTCACGAGGCTGAGGCAGGAGGATCAGACCTCCAAAGACACCCTGAGTAACTCAGTGAGGCCCTGTCTCAAAATTAAAGAAAGGCTGGAATGGAGAGCGGGGAGCCGCACATCTAAGGCTCAGGTTCGATTCCCAGCACCCCCGAAGTACCCACAAACAGTCCAAAGAGGCAGAAAACAGGGAAAGAGCCACCCGGGAGAACCAGGGGTCAATCTGGACTGGTTTAAAAATCGGAGGGAAGGGAACCAATCAGAGGGGTGGGCGGCAAGGCCACGGTGCTGGTGGAGAGGTTACGCTAAGAAAAGGGGCGGGACAAAAAATTGGAGCCAATAAGGGGAAAAAGGAACCAAGGAGCCAAAGGACCAGGCGAACTCACTGGGAAAGAAAGGACGGGGATGGGCTAGAGAGAAGAGGAAAAGCCTGGAAGAGAAGGTGGGATTTGGGGGCCCCTGGTGGGTAGCAACCAATAGGAGAGGAAGGGGCGGGTCCATGAAGCGCCTGACGAATCCGGTGTGAAACGAAGCAGGGACCAGCAGCCTCAGAGGCAACCAATCAGGAGAAGTGGCAAAAAAAAAAAAAAAAAAAAAAAGAGGGCCAGGACCAAGGGCAAGGCCAATTAGCAGGGGTGGAACTTTCAGTAACCAATCAGGCGTCTAGGGGGGCGGACCGGCCCCAGCCCTCCGGGATGGGGACCCGTACCTGCCGGGTGGTGGTTGGTGGCATAGCTTTGTAGTGGGTGGGGGGCCGCGTAGGCCTGGCGGTGCAAGATGTCGGTTTCTGGGTGCGAGGTCCGGGAGCTGCCGTAGACCAAGCTGAGAGCAAGGGAGAGATGTCAGAATCTCCTTTCAAGGTATCCTCTGAGCAGAGGGCTGGGGAACCTCCCCCTTGACTGGAGGTGTTACTCCACGGAACCCTGAGATAACACCAAGGAATCCAATTGCCCCATGAGGGGAGCACAAAAACGACCCTATTCTGCAAGGCTTCAGAGTCCCACGTTTGCAGACACAGGCATGCAGAGACAGAGGACGTCAGGGGGAAACCTACAGTAGCCCAAGTGAAAGGTGTGGTCCTCTCCTGGAACCCTCCCCCGCCACAACAGAACCAAAGGTCCAAGCCTGCAGGAACACATGGGTACCCCAAGCCCCGGTGGGACAGCACAGACCCTGAGTTAGGGAAGGGATCCAGCCAAGCCAGGAGCAGGAGGCAGCCTGTGCCCCAAATGGCAAGGGGAGAAGGTGGAGAGGGGACAGGACCCAGGGAAAGTCCCAGGTACAAGTACTGACATGAATGAGGTACATCCCCAGGGGCCGAGGTGCAAGGGCACGGGCTCAGCAAGGCCAGGTGCACGTGCAAACAGGAGTCCGATTCACAAGTGGGGGAAGACAAGGTCCTGAGTGTGAAGCCCCACTCGAAAAACTTGTACACGCTGGGGAAACCCAAGTGTTGAGGGGGAGGGGCTGAAGGGCAGGTGAAGAGTGAGGACGCGCAACACAGATTAATCTGCAAGAGTCAGATTCACAGGTGAACATGCGGCTAGCCACGCGTGCAAAGGGCCCACGCTCACACACGCAAACACAAACAAGGAAAAGATCAGACTCTACCCCTACAAGGGCCCAAATCTGTGGCCCTGGACCGGAGAGCAAAGAGTGCACCATCAACCAGGATTCTCAGCTTTGAGGGAGGTGGGGAGCAGAAGGGGGCGTGTCCCTAATCCCAGGACCCCCCAACACACAGAAACCCAGCTTACGAAGGGGGCGGGGCCCCGTGCCCACTCTGCGCGCGGAATTTCTTGGAGGGGGGAGGGCCCGAGTGGCCCAGCCTCGCGCAGCCCCGGAACAATAGGACCTGGGAGGGGGTGCGCGCCCCCCCAGGTCTGCGAGCTAATTCTGCTTTCCTCCCACCTTTGCAGCTGCAGAGCCAGGGGCGCCCGGGGGGAGGGGTCAGCAAGCCGGGAATCCAAAGATGGGGGCAAGTCCAGGCCTTGCATTGCCAATCCTTCCCATCTTCCCAAGGCCTTCCCGGTTCGAATTTGTTTTTGCGCCTCGCCTGCTTCGTTTCTCTTTTGCAAGCCGGAGCTGGCTTTGGCGGAGTTTACAATTTGCAAACTGGGGCGGCGGCGTTGTTACAAACCCAAAGAAGGCCGCTCCCTTGCAAAAGCCGGAGGGGGAGTTGGCGATGCACGCGTCGCCGGGCGGGCCCCAGGCCCAGGCCCGACAGGAATCCCCCACCTCTTGGCCCGTTTCTCCAGGTCCCCCTCAGCTCCTTACCTAGCTTTCGCTGACCTCTCGTAACTCCATCCCGCCCCGGCGCCGAGCGGGTCCCCGAAGCCGGCGCTGGGGTAGTTCCTGTCCATGAATTGGCCGCGGTGGAAATTGGGGGGAGGGGGAGGGAGGGGGAAAGGAGGGGGCGCGCGCGCGCTCTCCTCCGCCGCCGCTCCCTCCGCTGCTTTTTTCCTCCCTTTCTCTCTCTCTCTCTTTTTTTTTTTTTTTCTTTGCGGCCACCGAAGGCCCCGGGCGGGGGAGGGAGGGGGCAGGGACGGAGGGGCGGGCAAAGGAGGGGTGCAGCCGCTGAGCCAAGGAGGGGGGGTTCCCCCTGGAGGAGGGAAAGGGGGGAGGAGGGACCCCGCTGTCTCCGCCTTTGCCCCGGCGCTTGCAAGAGAGAAGGGGGACGCGCGCTCGGGAGGGGGCGTCCCGGACGGCCCCGGAGTGGGTGCAGGCACTGGGTGCTCGCTCTTTCGCCGCCGCCGCCGCCGCCTCCTCCTCCTCTGCGCTCACGGTGCAGCCATCTTTGCACAAGGCGGCTGGGGGAGGGGGGAGGGGAAGGGGGGCGGGCGGCGGGGTGTCTGGCTGCGCTCCGCTTCCTCCCACAATCCCGTGCAAATGCAAAAAAAAAAAAAAAGAGAGAGAGAGAGAGGAGAGAGAGAGAGAGCACTAGCGGAGCCTGGGAGAGAGAGAGAGAGAGAGAGAGAGAGAGAGAGAGAGAGAGAGCGCACTAGCGGAGCCTAGGGGTGTAGGGCACAGCGCCTGTACAGAAATCCATTTCGCTCCACCGCGCGCAGATGAGCCCAGGAACGGGGTTCAGTTCGTTTGCATTTTTTATTTTTCTCGAATAATTTCAATTTTGGGATTTTTGTGTGTGTGTGTGTGTGATTCTTTCTTTTTAAATTTCTTCCTTTTCCAAAAGGTTTTTAGGTAGATAGCAGTTCAGCTCAACTCCGTTTCCCCGGGTGCAACACAAGCGTGACACCTTTTCCAGCACATAGCAAATGCGCCCTCCGCCTTTATGCCGGATTACGAACCGCCCGTGTGGGGGAATACACGAAGACGGGCGTGTGCACGGGCCTGGTTCTCTGCGTGTACGCCCCCCGCGACACGGTGGGGCGACAGTCAAGTCACGTCTTGTCCGAGTTTCAGGGCAGGTGCTCGGGAAGGGCGGGTGCGAGGAGCAGGGGCACGGACTCGGCAACACGATGGTCAGGGGCATGCGTGTATCCGTGCGCGGCGGAAACACGTGTGTCGTGATAGACGTCGGGTCCGACGACCCTGACTCTCCCACGCACACATTGAAGCCAGGGAGTCGAAGAGGCCCTGCGACTTCCGGAATCTGCTGTGAATCAGGGGCACAGTTCGGGGAGCCCGCGCTCCGGAGCAAGTCTTCAGTGAGGCCTTCTGAGGCTAGCCGGGGTGGGGGTGGGGAGGGTACAGTGCAGAGTCAAAAAAGCCCCCTCCACCAAGACCACACCGACCCGCCCTTGGTGCTTCAGCCAATCCTGAATCCTGTACGCACAAGCCCCTCCCTCCTGAAAAGCTGCACTCTTGCAAGGCTGGTCCACGCCCCTACAGACAATTGCGTAGGGCCCGCCCTGCCCTGCAAGCCCCGCCCCTCGTAGACTTCCCAAAGCACCAAGCCCTGCCCCTGGGGGACACGCCCCTCCCACGCGATGCCTTCCTCTGCACTCTAACTCCCGGCAGAAGCCCCACCTCGTACCTGGAGTAAGGGGGCGGAGGGGCGTCGTGCACCCCAGAGGCTGCTAGCGCCTGCTCGTAGGTAGGGAGGCCTGGGGGTAAGGGTGGAGACAAGGGCGTCGGGGGACTCAGGGGGCTGATGAGCACGGTCCTGGAGACAGAAAAGGAGTGGTTAATATAAAACCTACCTTGGAGCTGGGCTCAGCGTTTAAGAGCACTGGCTGCTCTTGCTGAGGACCCAGGTTCCATTCGCAGCACCCACATGGCGGCTCATAACCATCTGTAATTCCAGTCCCAGGGGTCCGACGCCCTCTTATGACCTCTGATTGCACCAGGCATACATGTGGTATACATACATACACATGCATCCAAAACACGCATACACATAAAATAAATCTTTACAAGAAATAAATAAGAAACATACATGACCAAGGGGTTACAGACTAAGACTCCTAAGTCTTAGTGGGAAGGGACAGAGGTGGAAGGGAGATGGCCCAGAAAAGTGCCTCAAAGGACAGCCTGATGGAAATAGACAGGTAGACGTGAAAATGAACCTCAAATGCACACTCCCATCCACAGAAACATGGGTGCACCAAGGTAACAGAAACACCAGGTGCACAGACCCCAGGGACAAAGATCGGCAGGTCACACAGACAGGAACAACACAGAAACATTTAGTTTCAAAGTTTCCCAAATCCACTCTTTTAAGCAAGGTTGACCAAGTTGGCTTCAAAACTTGCAACAATCCTCCCTAGCCTCCCAAGCATTGGGATTGCATGTATGAATCACCCATGCCCGGCTTCCAAATCCATTCTTTTACATTTTATTTTTATATTTAAAGTAGTCATGTATTCTGTGAGTGCGTGTATATGCACACATGCCCACACACAAATGATGGGCAGAGGACAGCTGGGGCAGTGTTTTCTCCTTCCACCATAGAGTCCTTGTAATAGAACCCAGGTTGTCAAGTTTGGGGGGCGCCCAGGAGCACGGGCAACCCCACGTCCCAGCCCTTCAAGGGCTGCCTTTCCACAGCATTCCACTACTCACCTGCACCTTCAATTCTCTTTTCACGTTTTATTTTGAGAAAGGTTCTCCTTAAGTTACCCAGGCTAGCTTTGAACTCACATTGCACATTTTTAGGGCCTCACCATGACACCCAAGTATAGCTATCAGACACCCTGGGAGACTCTGCTGGTGTGAAAGACACACACACAGCTCACAGCTCATACAAACATGTGCTGCGACCTGCATGCATGGAAAAGACCATGCAACTGGCAGCTATGGCCCACAGCCTACACAGGAGCATCCTCACCACTGGAACCTGGTACTCAAAAGACAGGTATCACCTTCACACAGATTTTCTCTCCATAGGCCTGTGGCTCCAGACTCTTCATCACTGGTCTCTTGCCTTAGATCAAGCCTGCCCCCTCCCACTTTCCTCTCCATCTCCCACATTCCCTCCTCCTGGAAGACCCCTTACTCTTGCTGACAGGACTCCCGGACTCTGAGTCGGCGCCGCCTTCTGTAGTGCAGATACCAAAAGGCTCCCAAGCCAGCCAACACGATGAGCAGGATCCCAGAGGTCAGTCCCACCGCCAGGCCTGCGACATCTACTCGTCCACGCCCTGTGGGTAGAGGGTACCACTGATCGGGGCTACCACCTCCTCCAACATCTCAATTCCTTTCCCTAAGGGCGTGGGCTAGGAAGCAAGGCAGAGAGACCTGAGCCCCCTTCCTGCTCCTGTGGCCTCAGGCAACAAACACTGGAGCTTTTTTAGAGTGTCTGTTTTCTGCTATGCAGAATGGGAACATGAGCCCTACCAGGAGCTCTAGAAAACTCATTGAGATCTGAGTAGGGAGTGATGGCCCAGGCCTGTCCTCTCAGCTACTTGGGGGCCTGAGGCTGAAGGATAGTATGTTTGAAGTCTAACAGTGAATTCAAGGTCAGCCTGGGCAAGTTAGCGAGACCCTGTCACAAAGCAAGAAATGAAGAGAGTTGGGTTTGGGATGTACTTAGTGATAGAGCAGTTGGGCTGCGTACTCACGGCCCTGGGTTCCTCCTACCACTGGAGAGGGAAGGAAGGAAGAAGATTCATTGCAAACATATGAATGTGTATCTTCTACTTCAGCGGAACTGTTAGTGTAGCACAAGAGGATGTGCCAGCATTTACAAGGATAATAATGGATAAATTGGAGGAAAGACTGAAATATGGAGGTGTCGACTTACATGGCGCTGTGCCTAAGGTGCAGACCCCATCAACAAACTAAGGGAGTGAAAGGAGACTTCAGCATCCCTGCCCTCAATATGGCTTGGTTTGCTCTTGGCTCGTTTTATTTTCAAATATGTTTTTATACTTTTTGTCATGCTGGCGGTCGAACCTCTAGGGGTTTTGTTGGTGGTGGTTTTAGTTTTTCAAGACAGTGTATTCTCTGTGTAGCCCTGGCTATCCTGGAACTCAGTCTGCAGACCAGGCTGGCTGCCTGCCTCTGCCTCTTGAGTGCTGAGATTTAGGTGTGTGCCACCACTGTTCCAATGAACTTCTAGTTTTTTAAAAGATTTAATTTATATGTATGTGGACCACTCGTGTCTGGTGCCATAAGAGGTCAGAAGAGGCTGTTGGATTCCCTAGACCTGGAATTGATGATTGTGACCATTATGTAGATGTTGGAAACTAAGCCCAGGTCCTCTGCAAGAACAGCAAGTGTTCTTAACCCGAGTCATCTCTCCAGCCTCCTGTTGGTTTCCTAAATAATCTATTTTATTATTTTATTTGTGTGTACATGTGGAGGAGGTAGGTGCACATGTGTGTGGGTGCTCACAGAGGTCAAAGGAAGACACTGGACCCTCTGGATCTGCTGGAGTTATCACCAGTTGTGGGCAGCACCCAACTAGGGTCCTGGGAACCAAACTCCAGTATTCTGCAACAGCAGCAAGCAATCTGAAGTGCTGTGGCATCTCTCTGGCCCTTCCTGCTGATTTTTTTTTTTATAAGGCATGAGGGAACAGGAACTCTCTCCCCTTAGGCTGAGGATTTCGTAGAGGTAAGAACTAGTGGCTGGCTGTTCTGTTTCTCTGATCTTTCAGTTTTCACCCCGATATCTGGCTCTGGGTTTTTTTTATTAAAAGACCATCTAAGATTTGAAGAACATCCGTGTGTGTGTGTGTGTGTGTGTGTGTGTGTGTGTGTGTGTGTGTGTGTGTAGTGACCACAGTTCTACCTTGGATGTTTTCCCCAGGAGTCATACACCGTTATTTTTTCATTTTTAATTATTTATATGTGTGCATATATGTGTGTAGAGGTCAGAGGACAACTTCCAGAAGTCAGTTCTCTCCTGAACTCAGATCATCAGGCCTGATGACAAGCACAGCCACCTGCTGAGCTGTCTCCCTGGGGCTGACTTGTTTCCTGAGAAAGGCTCTCTCATCAGGAGGGGAGGGGGCAGACCTCAGTGACTTAGGCTGGTTACCCAGGGAGCCCCACAAACCCTCCTGTCTCTCCTCAGTCCGCCAGCACGCTCAGCTGTTCCTGTAGATTCTGGGGATCAAACTCAGATCCTCGGGGTTGCCTGGCAAGCACTTTACCAACGATCCATCTCTTCAGCCCTTGGTTTTGTTTTGAGACATGGAGTCTCAAGCTGGCCTCAGACTTGATATATGTAGCAGAGGCTGGCCTTGTACTCACAATCTTTCTGCTGGGACTGAAGGGCCAAGGTCAGGGCCATCTCCTCTGGCTACCTCTTGCTAAAGCTTGCAGTGAGAAGACAGGGCTTCCAAAGTCTGGCAGATTTCAGTGATCCAAGGAGCCACTAGGCCTTGCTGGGATTGTAGAAAAGGAGCTATCTCCCCTAGCAACCAGTTCCACTGTGAGGACTCCAGCACAGACCTAGGGCCTGTTGCTAAGGTGCATCCACCCCTAGCAACCAGGCCATGAGGGGGTGGGGCAGCTGGTGCCCAGAGGGGGGGGTCCTCCAGCTGGGCAGGAGGCCCTGGTCCTCCAGCTAGGTACGGTTGCTAGGGAGAAGGCCTCCTTAGCAACCAGGCAGGCTGTGGCTGGCATGGGGCTGTGGGGGGGAGGGGAAGCCAGCCAGGTAGTGCTTCTGGCTTCCTGTCTGGCCTGGCCAGGGCCCCGTTGCTAAGGAGCAGCCCCCCTTAGCAACAAGGCTCCAGCCAAGATGAGGGCTTCAGAACTCAGAGGAGGGGCTGGGGTGGGCAAACTGGACAGGTGAGAATGGCCAGGCTTCCTGCCCTAGCTCTGTTGCTAGGGAACAGCCCCATTAGCGACCAAGATGCAAGCAAGGGGCTGTGGCTCTGGGGTCTAAAGAAGGGCCAGGTGAGTCTGTCCTTCTGACAGTCCCCATGAAAATACCCTTCCTTCCATGTGCCCACCCACGTGCCCCCCTCCTGGGGACTTGGGCCCTACTATGAGTGTGAATGCAGTTGTGCTGGGTTTCTCAGACAAGGGCCATCATGAAGAGGGAGGGGCACCTTGTCAGCCATCTCTGGGCAGCATGGGAGCTGAGAGAAGGTGGTCCTTGGATATGTGGAGGAGACTTTGGATGGAACTCCAGGGCTAAGCGCTGCTTCCCCGAGTACCACTCACCTCCCTTGCCATTGTAGGTATAGGTTTCCCAGAAGCGTTCCTAGAAGGATTGGAGGGGAGAGAAGGGAAAAAGAAGCAACTAGACATGGAACAGCCCCCCACAGCCAGTCCGCCCTGATATCTGAACCCCAGGGAGGTAAAGAGGGAGGTGAAGGCTGGATGCCCAAGGCCCTCAACTGGGGGAGGCAGAGAGGACCGAGAGGTTCTGAGGCTCTCACCGTCAGTGTGTTGTCCTCAAAGTATTCCCGGGCCTCCTCCCAGGAGCACCTCTCCTCCTGGCACTCTCGTTCCAGGTTCCCGGGGGTCAGCAACTCCAGGTCCCAGTGGTTAGCCCGAGGAATCCGCCTGTGGCCAACTAGGAAACTCTCGGCATCCGGGGGATCCAGGAAGATGTCAAGAACTAAGGACATCAGAGTCAAAAGCAGAGAGGCCTTAGGATGGAGGACAAAGAAGATAAAGAGGGGTGGGGCCAGGCTTGGAAATCCCCAGGTATGAGAAGGAGGGCCAGGGTCTGGACGATTGGGTCTGAGGGAGGAGGCTGGGGTCTGGACGATTGGGTCTGAGGGAGGAGGCTGGGCGTGGACCCCTGGGTCTGAGGGAGGAGGCTGGGGCCTGGACCCCTGGGTCTGAGGGAGGAGGCTGGGCCTGGACCCTGGGTCTGAGGGAGGAGGCTGGGGCC